GGATACAAGACAATAAAAACCATACCAAAAAGATTTTGCCGTTCAGGATGAATAGCGCCACCAATAGTTCAAAAAAATTAAAAGGAGTTTGGTCAAACACCCAAAGGTCTGTATTGCGGTATCCACAAAATATGCTATGGGTAACAGACTATATTGACATAACGTTAAACATACGTGATTCACTCGTCGGAAAGGAACGCTTGTCAAAGCTAATTTCACCTTTTTGTATAAAAATTACCCCAGTTGGCGGTGAGAAGTCAATAAGTAAATAAACGACTTCAAGTTTATCATTTCAATAGTTTCTAATCGTTGTGGTACCCTTTGCTTTGATTTGTTGGCAGATTTATTTTTACTGTTAAAATGGAAGTTCGAACTCGACTCATTAGTAGTAGGCCTACCAATATTGTCCTACTACTGCTTTGTACTATTTCAGGCCTAGTGCTTGCAAAGGGTGTCAGGTCAATTCGACGATTTTGGGTCATCTCGTACCCGAGTCATCTTGTACCCTGGTTAACTCGTACTCGGGTCAACTCGTACCCAGGTCAACTTGTACCCGGGTCAAGTCGTACCCAAGTTAACTAGTACCCCCTTTCATTAGTCGGTGCAAGTGATAGGATTTCAACAAATATTTTTTTTCTCAGAATTAGTTTCAGAATATAAGGCAGCACGAACATACCCTGCGACTGCCGGTGAAAACAACGGTAATGACTTAGCGATTTCTATTACGAGAAAATTTTTAAAAACGTATTTCAAATACTTATTAAACTTTACAAATAATTTATTTTTTATTTTTTTATTCTTTGCAGGCAAAGCATATCTCTTTTTGGAAAATGTGGTGGCCCTGAAAAGGGCCGTTTGGTTTGATAGCGGTTGCCCTGAAAAGGGCTGTTTGGTTTGATAGTGGTTGCCCTGAAAAGGGCTGTTTGGTTTGATAGTGGTTGCCCTGAAAAGGGCCGTTTGGTTTGATAGCGGTTGCCCTGAAAAGGGCTGTTTGGTTTGATAGTGGTTGCCCTGAAAAGGGCTGTTTGGTTTGATAGTGGTTGCCCTGAAAAGGGCCGTTTGGTTTGATAGCGGTTGCCCTGAAAAGGGCTGTTTGGTTTGGTTGTCCTACAGTGCAGGACCGTTCTGGTGCTTGCAGGTAGAAAGAAGCTCGGACGTCGTCAGCTCCCCAACCTGGTACTGCTGCGAGATCTTGAAAAGCTTCACTTGCATTGTCTTAGATCGCTTTTGCTGGTACCGGCGAAGCTTGGACTCCTTTACCAACCTCATCTGCAGGTGTCCCAGCGATGCCTCGATGTGAAGGAGTTGAACCCCAGATTCAGTGTGGAAATTCATAGTGTACAAGTTAACTTGGGTACGAGTTAACTTGAATACAACTTGACTCGGGTACAAGTTAACCTGGGTACGGCTTGACGCGGGTACGACTTGACTCGGGTACAACTTAACTTGGTGGAAATTTTGGGGTACGAGTTGACTCGAGCACGAGTTGACCCGTTACCAACTCGACCGTTTTCCAACTCGACTCTCGACCAACTCGACCGTGCAAACGGTGCAATAGGGCATAGAACAAACGCATTTTTCCTAGTTCTGGATCGTGCGTGTAATTCGTTTTACTGTGCGTGATGTGATCTGTGCGTGCGCACAGTGTGATGCCAGATAGCAGGGGTTCATGTGTGCGTGCTGCTTCTCAAATTGGGAAAAATATTTTGGAGTATCTCATTGGCACAAGTTCAACTATTGATTGCATTTCAGTTGATTTCGTGGGTTCATTGAGCCAAACTTAGCCTCCATAATTTTCACGATCAGGAACCGATCCAATCTTTATTTTTCAACCTTAATATCTATTTTCAAGGAAAGAGTTTGTCTAATAAATTGGTAAATGGTCGAGTTGACTCAACTTTGAAGTCGAGTTGGTCATCGGACGAGTTCGTTTAACAGTCAAGTTGGTCGACTGTCGAGTTGGTCAGGAGTCGAGTTGACTCGAGTCGAGTTGGCAAACGGTCGAGTTGACCTACAATCTTGCAAAGTTGCATAACTTGAACTCCAAGTCGTGAAGTTAGCATGGTTTAACCCTAACCCTAACCCTACTTAATACTACATATTACTACTTGTAGTAAAATGTACTGAGCGCTGTGGCTTGTAAGAGGACATGACTTTATTGTTCTCTGAAGCCATAAGATACAATAGAAAAGACAATGTACCATACAGTGCTGTGGCACTATGAATGCATGGCTTTATTGTTCTCTGTACAAGTAACAATGGAAGTAA